ATTTCTTATGCTGAAGTGTACGATGTGTTGCATACCTATTTACAAACAATTCCTTTAAATTTAATTTTTTAAACAATTTTTAACACAAAGAAAGTGATTAAACAAATTGCTCACAAAAGTGAATTTCGACCACTCGAAGCAATGGTGCTAACAGTTTCGAGTTCATAATGATTGATAGGGGGGGGGAAGAACTAGTGTTTAATAAAATATTTTTCTTACCATAATTTCTAAGTTTGTAATACTCCAGGCAAACAGTCGGGTTCTAGGGGGCACAGCGTAGTTCATTTGTTTCGATCTCTGCACATATATTTCAGCATTCTTTTTTTTCAAACTATCATAAAGTTCTTCCACTTTTTTGGCTGGTAAGTGTAAATGAGTTTTACACAATTCCTCAATCTACAAAAATTTATTTAATTATTTAACATTAAAATTGTTTATTACCCATTTTTATTAATATAGTACCCTTTCTTTAAGCATCTTCTGACGTTTCAAACTTTCGTTGTATTCGTCAAGCAACAGTTCGTAGTTATCTCTTAGTTTTACTTCGAATGGATCATCTGCCATTTCAAAGATAAATTCTTTTACCTTAAAAAGTCAAAATAAAGAAATTATATTTTTATTACTAAAAGAAAAAAAAGCTGCACTTCTTGAATTACTTTCAAAACGTATTACTTCTTTTTTTTTTAAATCATGATAAGTATTCGATTTAAAAATTGGCTTTTGTATATTATTTATCAAAATAAACACTTACATTTATTACAAGATCACTTGGAAGAGGACTATCCGTGGTAAAGGGCATTTTCTTTCTATTGTGAACAATTTTAAGCCATTTAAAGACTGAAACAAATTCGTTTCTGTAAGCATCTGCAAAATTGTGTTGATATGGAAAGGCAGCTCGAAATGAATCAATAGAAAATCCCCAAGGATTATTCCATCGCAGTTGTATATTTTCATTTTCCAATCTTTCTTCAAGCAGCGTTTGATTCTCTTTCACTCTAGACAAACTCAATCCCAACAAAGTAAAAATTTCAGCATCATCAATTGAAATTGTACCCGTCTTGTTACTAATGGTCAAATTGTCTTTTGTATGGGACACCGTCATATCATCTACAATAAAAGAAACAGGACTTAAAATATTAATTAATACTTCATTTTTCTCATTAATTATTCATTTTAATAATTAATACTTACAACAGACAACAAAACTTCTTTTGAATTTTTGTTAATTATTATTACAATTATAACATTTTTTTATTAGAAGGGTTTATTTTTAATTTTTGTTTTTACAGGACCCTTTTTATATTTTACTTACCAATTGTAACCTTTGCTTTATGGCTTGGAGATATTTGTATATGAAATCCAAACATTCCGAAAACTCTAAAATTGTAAATGCATTCTCGTTTTTTATTCGGTTTCTGACTGAGTAATTTCGTGTTTTTGAGGAATTTTCCCCAGAATTCCACGCAGTCCCTCCACAAATACAAAAGTTTTAGGTGAATATTTGTAGTCCAATACACAACAATTTCTTCAAGTAAATGCAAAGTAAATTCTGAACATTCAGCATTTGTCTTAAACTCTACTTGGGTCATTTTAACGTAACTGATGTACTCAGATATGTCTTCAGTTCTGATACAATTGAACCCAGAATCCTTGCTTTTGACTGTGAGCATTTTGAATCCTTTAAATTGGGCTGTTGTACAGTCTATTGATTTATCCAATGATACGGAGTTGAGGCGAGTAACCACAAATTCTATAAACAAATTGAATAGATAGCCTTTTTGCTTTTGTTCACCAATGGGGTAAAAGATTTACCATTTTCCTGGGTTGCAAAAAATAAATTTATATGAGATAAGGCAAGATTTATAGTTATATACTCTTGGAATTTTGTTTTGCTTGACCTGTGAAGATGCTCAGTCTCTTTTGTCTGATAGTCCCTCATACACCTAAAATGTAAACACAAATTAGTTTATGAAACTTTAAAAATATAATAAATGGTTACTTTAATGTTAACAGAATGTACTCTGCAGCATAAGAACTCCATTCAAGTTGCAATGTATCAAGTAAAGATTCAATTTTGATTTCTGAATTGCCATATGTTCCAAATTTAATATTAATTTGAATTGAATTTTTAAAACCATTCTCGATTTTGTTTTTATCTTTTATAGGTAAACATACATCTTATCGTATCATATTGTTCGAAAACTTTGATTATAATAGTCGCAATGTCTCTAATAGTAGTACTTATATATTTGTTTTTGTGATAAAAAATTTTCTTTTAAGGCCAAAAGAGACCTCGATGTACATTTTACAATCCCCGGAATACCGTCTCAAGAACAACTTATCGATGGACTGTTAGATTTCGGACTTAACGCTTTACAAGTAGCCACAGAGGTACAGGAGGCACTTAGCCACCTACAACTGCCCACTTTTGGACGAAGAAGACGAACCGTTAATGAAAATGACATCAAAAAGGACGACGAAAATTTCAACGGATAAAATTAATGTCGAAAACTAATATATGAGTAATCGTCTGTGTAAAATTAGATACTGTAAATTTCAAATTAAAAAATTGAAGAAAAGACAATATACAATTGTATATATTAACTGTATTAATGTAGATTCTTTTTCTAGATAAAAAGTTGATTATGATTATATGGTATTCCTATTTTTTATTAAAAAGTTGAAATTTTTCATTTTGATATGCTTTAATTTTTAAAAGATAATAATTAGTACCTTACCCCTTTTTGGTGCAACCTGCTCTGCTCCTACAAGCTGACCGCCTATGTAAAATTGACGTATTACAAGTAACGGTTGGGGGAAGTCCCTTAGTTGAAACTTCCAGTCTTTGCACTTTAAAGAGACAAATCTACACCACAATGTTGTAAAATCAATGCCTTCTTCAGGCCATGGACTGTCTCTATCAATTTCCCTCATGACGTTTATCACATTTTCAGTGCCATGTATCGAAGGATCAGCCAAAACCTATTTCATAATTTATTATAGAACTTCTTAATATATGCCACATAATTTTCAAATTTAAAATAAGTCGTTATTTGTAACTTTTCTAAACTTAGAAAAAAATGAAAACAATCGACTTTAGTAGTAGTTACAAAGTTAAATTTTAATTTTGTTCAATAAATACTTATTTCAAATAGTNTAATAAATGGTTACTTTAATGTTAACAGAATGTACTCTGCAGCATAAGAACTCCATTCAAGTTGCAATGTATCAAGTAAAGATTCAATTTTGATTTCTGAATTGCCATATGTTCCAAATTTAATCAGTGTCATTCCTAGGTACACGGGAGTACCCCAAACGTGAGTTTTCTTCGACGTCGCCGGCTCTTGAGTCCACTCCTTAAAACTCCACCAAAAAGACTCGACCAAGATCTCCAGTTGCCAATGACGATTGGATAAGACCAGTCTCGGAATTAAAGACGCGTATTTCGTATCTAAAATGTATATATGATATTTCCAAATCTACAATTTTTAAACATCAATGAACCTCTTGTTTCCAGGGCTTGTTCGAGAATAATTTTTGTATGACTGAACCCTATTGAAGAATGATTCCCATTGAGTTTTACAAGGGACGAAACGTTACAAAATTCTGCACAACCGTTTATCATAACGTTGGTCATTAGTTTTTCTAAAAAACCGTCGCTGGGTTTCTTCTCTTTACGACCCGTTTCCTTTAAGGGGGGTTGCGAGTCGATGCTGGATGACCTTGCGATTAGAGCCTTTTTAGAACCTTGTAAAAAATTGGTACGAATCCACTTGTTGAATGTCTCGTGGTTATAAGTTACTGTTAGCGTGTTTAGCTTGATATAAAGATTCAAAACGTTATCTTCGAGCTAATAAAATTCATTAAATCCAAAAAGTGTTTTAAAAGTAGTATTAAAGTTTTATTACCCTCGCATCCAAAGACCAGCTTTTTAATAATAGCAATCTTTCCCTGCTGTTTTGCACTTGTAAATCCAGCAATTGTAATGAAAGCCTTAATTGTGGCAACAAATAATTATCAAGGTCTGAATTATTAACAAATTTACTACTGATAGTAAAAGCTTGCAGAGCAGACACAAATTCAGTCCTACTATTCTCGTTTACACCTCGAATAGAGACATCTTCCATTTTATAAACGAAATTCTAAAACGTGTTTTATTGACATCAGTAAATGATAATATTTTCTAACAATATTTAACGCTTACTTTAGGAATAATTGGATAAATTCGATCATAAAAATCATATGAAACTTTATTATCAGATGGTGGTATATGTGAAGGCTCTCTCTCTTGAACCAAAGTATAAAAACCATCACTTATTGTTGTTGTAGCTTGAGAGACGGTTAAACTTAATTTCTAAAATGTATTTATATATTAAAAGTTACACTATTAATACAGGAAGTTATTGTGATCACTATATATTTACCTCTACTGATAACGGCCCTTGTGCTACAAGAGTAGCTTCCATATTTATTGCAAAACTAAGCTCTGCCAGACAGCTATTGTCAGTATATTTATTTTCTGGATGGCGTAAAAGTTTGGCAAATACTTCTGTAAGATTTGCATTCACAAGCAATGTTTTGGCATTTTGAACTACACTACCATCTAAATGCAATTCTGTTGCAGTAGCATGTACAAGAAAACCAGGCTCTTCTGAATGAAGAATCATTGCAGAAATATTATAAATATGTACAGCCATAAACTGCAAATTTTAAATTATACACAATTTAGAATGTTAATTTCAACTGAAATACCAACTTGTGCAAATGTGGTGATGAAATGGGGAATTTTTTTTTCTCTAAAATCCATGTAAATTTTTTGATTAGATACCCTTCCCCAATCTGATTCAGATTTTCCAATGTCCTTATTAACACGCACATCTTTCACAACAAGAGTGACTAGCTTTGTGAGCTCCGAATTAAAGAAACTACTTTTAATACTTATTTCATCAACTTGCTGAAAGAAAACATTAAAGACTTATATTAATCTTCTTAATCTTTAAAAAAGATACCAAATATTTAATAACTTACGATTGTAAAACCGCTTTTAGTAATGCTGACATCATAAATTTTAAGGTAGGGAACACCTATCCTTCCTATCTTTATAATTACTTTAAACTTGTGTTCGAATATGACTGCTATGACTTTAGGTAAAATCCTATTAAAAAATTAACATAAATTAGCAGTTCTTGTCGTATAAAAGAACCGTAATAACCAAATACAAATGTAAGTGGAAAACAGCTTACCATGAAGTAACAGTATATATACAAATTAAAACAAGAATTAATACTAAAATTAAATGCATTTTTTGCTAACAGAAAAGCAAAATCGCTCTATTCTTTTACATATTTTTAAATAATTTCGATTCTAACCACATCATCTTTTATAATAGCTACATTTGACATCGGTTTGTTTATTGCTTCAAGGTCACAATTGTCAAATTTATATTGTGTCTATATATACAGTACTTTGATTCAATTAATTTCTTCAGTAGCATTTTGCTAGTAGCTTAAGCTTAATAAGTTTAAATTAATATATTTATTATAGTTGAAATATTTTGGATGTGCATTATATTTTAAGTTAAAAAATGAATTATCAAAATAGTAATTTTTAAAGAAAATTAAGACAAATTTATCGGCATTGATACAATAGACACAATTTGTTTTCACGTTATGCAGTTGGTAGTATCTGTCAAGTTCTTCCAGTTTTGTAAACATAGTAATACTGACGTTTATAAAGTTTAATACTTTGTGAGAGTAAAAATGGTATGTAAAATTTATTATTTTATATCGAAAACATCAATTTCCGTAGTTTGTGGTAGATTGGCTGTTTTGTATCTAATTTTAATATTTTTTCACATAAAAATTATATTTTTCTTATAACTGCTATAATTTTTATGATAACTTAGAGGTTATATTTTCTAGGCCAAACGCACGAAAAAGGTAGGAATTGTAGGAAAATATGGAACTCGTTATGGTGCTTCTCTCCGTAAAATGGTTAAGAAAATGGAAATTACTCAGCACAGCAAATACTCTTGCAGTTTTTGCGGAAAAGTAAGTTTAAATTTTTAAATACTAATGTAACTGGTTTCTTACTCCTAAATCCATTTTTAAAGGATGCCATGAAGAGATCAGTTGTTGGTATTTGGTCCTGCAAACGTTGCAAACGGGTAGTTGCTGGTGGAGCCTGGGTATATTCAACAACAGCTGCGGCTTCAGTCAGGTCAGCTGTTAGACGATTGAGAGATGTTAAGGAACAATAAACTGTAGGTTAATTTACATACAATAAATACCTTTTTAAGTTAAAAGGGTGTTTCTTTGGTAATTGAATGTATGATCAGATAAAATATTCCACAATTGTGTGTTATTAAGGAAAAGGAGTTGGAAATATTCGATTAGGATTTTCATCATTAAGACAATGTTTGCTTTCAAAATCGACGCTTTAATATTCTGCACTTATATTTAGAATAAAATAATTTATATTTTTCTATTCCAATGAGAGTAAAAGAATGTCAGCACATTTAAAAAACTAAGTGCTTATTACCTCAGATAAGTATTTGGTAATGATATTAAAGGTCTTTGATAAAAAAATTACTACAAGTACCATAACTAAAGAGAAGAGTCAGTCATGTATGTACTTACAAGGAATTTATTCATAAATATAAGGCACTTGAAAATTACTGAATTGTTTGAGAGTCAATATGGACAAATCTATTTGATCTGTTCAGTTCCTCTTGCTACTATTGATGAATTTACAGAATTTTGTAACAGTTGTTTTAACTCAGGGCATGAAGCATCGTTGTCTGAACTTTCTACGTCACTATCAGAGCTGTAATATGACGATTTTTCACTTTTATGATTTTTACTCTCATTTTCGTCATTCGTGTCGGAATTAGACTGCAATTCTTTAATGTGAAGCCCTACAATGAAAATATTATTACCATAACGAAATACTGTTAAACAGTAATAAGTTACATTAACAATTAAGACCTAAATATGTATGCTCAAAAAAAGGCAGAAAACTCATGATAAATAACATTAAACGATTCATTATTTAAAAATGGGCTGCCCATAATAAATTATGTAACGTAAAATTCATCATTTTTTAACCCTACCCCCATGTAAGGAGTGGCCTGACCCCTTACTACTCCGTTACATAACGCGATTCTGGATTCCCCCCAATTACCAATTGGCTTTACATAACTTATAGACAGCCCCAAGGTTAATTTTTTGTCGTATTATTGGGTATTAATTGAATTACTCTTCATATAATACCTTGTCTTAAAGACTTCATGATAAGCTGGTCGCTTAAATCGAGATGATTATTGCTGTGATTATTAACAACTACGTTGAATTTACTTTCTGAATAAGTAACAGAAACGTTTTCTTCTTCGCTCCGACTTCTTCTTAAATTCTTATCACCAGGAATGATAAGCTTTTTGGTATTGGAAAGGAAATTATTCAAGTTTTGATCGTCGAGTCCTGCATTGGCACTGCGACGTTTACTCAAATTCGGCATGTTCTTCATACTCGCGTTGTTGCTAAACATGTTCAGCAATTGGGTACCCAAATGAGAGTCCAAACTTCCGCTACTGTTACGTTTCGTGCTTGTTTTTGAGTAACGGCGTGAGGTACGAGAGCCGGAAATAATTTCGTGTTTTCGACGGACCTAAAACAAAAGTAAATTGTTTATCAGAAGCAGAATTCTATAAGAACTAAATTTCTTACTCTGTTGTGTCGTCTCCTGGCGTTAATTTTCCTAGTGGCTTTAAGTTCAGCGATTTGAACCGACAACTGACTTTCCCCGGAGTTCCTCCGACTCTCGATGCTGATATGCTGCAAACTATAGCTCATTTCCGAGTTACTAGATACGGAATAAGTGGCCACTTCGTTTGGAACTGCCCCCCTACGATTCACGAGTCTGGGAAGATTGGCCGCCCACGTGGTGCTCAATTCGTTGCTTGCGGCGCTGTTGAGGTCGAAATGCAGACCCACCGGATCGGAATGGGGCTGGCACTCGATCGAAATCTTGCGGCCCTCGTTAAACTTTTTCCGCTTTTCAAACGCTTGTGCTATTATTTTGTGCTTTTGAAATTTTATCGGCTCTTCTACTTCGCAATGAAATTTTCTGAAAGACAGGACGATTTTGAAAGGGAATATTAACGAACGAGTCCCATAAGGTGCAACGATCCAAGTATTAAAAAGGACTCGATATTCACTTAAAAGAAAGACAAAACAATAAAATATAACTGAACTAAAAGATAGTTTGCAATACTTGGACATGTAAATAAATCAAAACCTTATGAAACTCGTTCTTTAAGTATTATGATTTTTTATCGTTTCCTATGTCATACCTTCGTACATATCTGGTCCAAGCGTGTAATGTGGCTGCACACCATACCCAGGATGCTACAGCTCCACCGGCCCCAAATATAGCCAGAAGTTGCAACTGTAACATTGCCACACTAGGTCGAACTTCTTTTCGACAATGGGAATGGTCTGTACTAAGACTCGTCAATTTACATCTGAAAATAAACTCAATAAAGACAATTGCATATGTAAGATACAGGGTATTCACTGATAAACTTGCATTATATATATATTTTTTTTATAAACAGTATTCAAACAAAATAATGAATTATAGTACATTTTTAATTAGAGGATATTATTAAAAAATTGTACTAAATTTCAAACATACTATACTTAGAGGTACGAGGAAAAAATAAATAAATAATATAAGACAAAGAAATAAAAGCAACTTACAATATAAACTCATGCAGACTTTTGTCCCAAATATGTGAATTCATAAAAACGTAACCGTGATAAATAAAAGTAATAATGCAAAAAACTATTATAAATAAGGTAAAGACCCCCATTCTGACTATGTTTGAACGAATTTTTCTACTAGAGTGCTCAGAAATAATGTCTCTGCTGTCTATTTTTACTTTGATAAGTAATATAAGTCCTGAAATAAAAGGAAACAATTTTTAAAAACAACTTGAATATTAAAAAAGTAACAAATTAATTAAATTCGATAAATAATTTAAAAATATATGCGAGAGTGTACTTTCGATTTCATTCGGTGGCGTTTACCTCTGGTAATAATATAACCAGCAACAACCATGGTAACAGCAAGCGGGGCAAGTAACAAACCCGCACGAGCTGCAGGATTAACAAATCCTACAAAACAAATCCCTAAAACATAATCTCCATCAATTTCGCCTAAAGCCATCGTCGTAATAGTTAAAATAAGAGGTAAACTCCAAGCAACTAAGTGAAAATAGGCCCTCTTTTTATCCACTCTATCTTGGATTTTTCCTGCAAAAAGAAAATAAAAAATTATATATTTTTCTAACTGTACAATTGTAACTAATTGTACCTAAAGCTTGTAAAGAGCTCATATACCAAGAATACGCGAAAATAACAAACCAAACCATTCCTGCCACAAAAAAATAATACACCATGACAAAAACAACTACGCAAGACAGGTTTTCATTTGCACTGGGCTCTGATTTCCGTAATGTTCCATCTTTTTTGCATACAATGTCTTCCCGAGTTTCTGAACCCAAAAATTGTATCATCCAGCCACAGTAACAGATCAGGAAACAGAAATTTATGTAAAATATTGCAAGAGCAGGATATTTTTTTGCGGTTTTCCAATCTATTATAAAAGTAACAATTGTAAAAGTGTTGAGAGAAATACATATCAGGACACAATAGCCAACAAGTTTATGTATTTGTTGTTGCTCATTCTCAGTGTAAAGCACATCTTTACATTGAAGACCGCAATATTCAATTTCTACAAAGTTAAGATCAGAAAATATGTTTTTTTAGAAAAAAAATTACAATTACCTTTATAAAACCAATCTGAATGTTCAGTTTTAACTAATGGCTCCATACAAAATCCAGTTAAATTAAATTTAACTTCGTGAATATCGTTTTTACATCTTGGTGGAAATAGATTGCTGTCACTACATTTCATCATAAAGTCTGAAAATATACCACTCCTATGCAAAATTTTACAAGGTCCTGAGATTATCCTGCACATCTCTTTTGAAGCTAAATATGCCTTTCCATTTTCACATTTGGGCATGTACAAGGCACAAAGAAAAGGTTGAATAACAGCCCAACATTTAGGAATGTACCGTAGATACTGGTAAAGTTGCAACTTTTCTTGTACAACTTCTTGAGAGCTAAGATTTATCAGGTCTAAAGTGGTGCTAGAGTACGGTAATTTTATCCCCATGCAGGTGTTGTACTTGAGAGGTTGGCATGCAGCAGGTCGGGGGCAATATCTCAATTCTAAATCTAAGGGATGACTGTACATAAAAGGATCTCTGTTAAAATCGGCTCTTCTTGCATTTCTCGTTTCCATCGTTGTTACTAAATTTTCTTCGTTTTCCGTTAAAGCCTCGTTTTCCGTCACAGTTCTTATTGAACTTTTGTTTGATGTATTATTACTGCATACAAATACGATTTTATAAGTGATTACTATAAATAACACGAAGTTCATTGTCGTCTTGTTTTCGAAAAATAACTCTTACACTTTTTCCACAGTTTTGAAGGCACTTTTTGATCAATTTTCATTTAAAATTTACGAGTTTAAGCCATTTTAAAAATTTTATATTGTTAACAATGCACTTGCCGCTACCTGAACATGCTTTCAAATGTTTATGGTCTGCGCGACGAAGACAATTGTATAGGGCAAAAACGATATAAGAAAGAGATGGAAGGACCACCCACGTGGGTTATTCGCTCCTTCGTAGAAAATGAGTCGAGTGAAGACTGTAAAAAAAGAAAACAGTGTAGAGACCACACACAACAAGGTTAATGTGCGATAAAGACAACAGGCAAGCAATTAGAAAGAAATGAAACAAATCGAACATAATAAAAAATTAAGTTTCTCGCATTAATTAATATAAATTTAGATAAATCTGTTTTTACGTCTTACATATGATTAATTTACTGAACTGATTCTAACTACATCAAGACGAACAAAGTTACACTTATAAATGTAGGTGAAGATTCGTCGTACTTTAAACAATACTACACATTTAAATATACCATTAATTAAGTAATTAATATTCTCAGAATGTTTAAAGTCTTTGTTGCTAATTTCGAATAGGTATGCTTCGCATTTTTTTTTAACACGCAGCAATGTATTACGATAGTTACGAAGTTTTTCTACCAAATTGAGAAGTTACCATAAAAGAATGTTTTTATTCACTTATTTAAGACGATTAAATGTAACATTATGTTTTTTTATGCTTATAAAATATCAAAATATGATTAAAATGGTAAATATCCAAGAATTTTAAGTATTTTAGTTTTGATCTTAGAACCGCTAAATGTGGGTATTGAGGACGTTCTAAATATTTTTTTTATAAAGGAATTTCTAATTTTATCTCACTAACATTAGTATTTATATATAAAATACCTCTGAATTTTTAAAATGATCCTAATAAATGTACCACATAATTATTTTTGAAAGTGAAAAAAAAATAGACCATTACCGCCAACTTTCAACACACTTTCACCAACCTTACAACAGCAACATTACACTAGTGTATTGTCAAAATTTTGACTTGCACGTCACTCACTAACAAATTATTTTCAATAAAGTGTTTTCTTGTGAGTCATTGGTACTGTTATTTTTATTTTGGTAGGATTGTAGAATTAAAAGTAGAAGAACATTTAATAACAGAAATATGGTATGTATTTTAATTAAATGGGATATTTTACAGTTATTTTCATTCACCTACAATGATAATTTGTCACACCCAAATGATAAGGAACATAACTCAAACAACTTTCTATACGTATTGAAATTATTTTAAGAAAAATAGCATTAATTTCTTTTATTAATAATTTTTTCAGTATAAAAAGTAAGATAAAATTTATACCGATGCACCTAACCTCCAAATTATAACATTTTTTTTTTCTGTTTTCATTATAAAATAGGGTGAACAGCAATTTGATTGTGCTTTGGATTTAATGAGAAGGCTACCGCCTCAAGAAATTGAAAAGAATTTAGGGGATTTAATTGATTTGGTGCCAAGTCTATGTGAAGATCTACTATCTTCTGTTGATCAACCTTTAAAAATAGCAAAAGATAAAGAGTCGGGCAAGGATTACTTACTATGTGATTACAACAGAGATGGGGATTCATACAGGTGTGTAAGATGTAAATTATATTTTATTAATATGTTTCAAATTCCTTGTTAAAGAGTAATGTAATCTTTCATATTTTATTTCTGTAATTAGGTCACCATGGTCAAATACATATGATCCCCCTCTTGACGACGGTTCTATGCCCTCTGAAAGGTTAAGGAAATTGGAATTAGATGCTAACTATGCATTTGACCAATACCGTGAAATGTATTATGAAGGGGGAGTTTCATCTGTCTATTTTTGGGATTTGGAACATGGTTTCGCAGGTAAGGCCTCTTTAAAGTGTAAAAATCATTATTTTCTATAACAATTAACTTGAAAATTTGCCCGCGTTTAGGCGTTATATTGATAAAGAAAACGGGAGATGGCAGTAGAAAAATAAAGGGATGTTGGGACTCTATTCATGTTGTGGAGGTGCAGGAGAAGAGTTCAGGTAGAAATTCACATTATAAAATGACTTCAACTGCGATGCTTTGGTTACAAACAAACAAGCAGGGCTCAGGCACTATGAATTTAGGGGGAAGTTTGACTCGCCAGGTAAGTTATTGTTATTTTAAAATTACTTGACATATAGTAAAATTGTTTGGGTTATAAAATTTTCACATTGGGGGAAGTACCATTTCCTTTTCTGTATCTCTTGATGTAATAATATCTTTAGTATAACATCTGACAATTGTTAAAATCAAAGTTGCTATTGCTGCATGATTCGAGATAAAAATGATACCTAATCCACGATTAGTGATTTACATTTATTTATTATTAATATTTAGGCACTTTATCGATTATGTAGGGTCACTTTTAAGTGAAATTTTCGACCAATTAACTCTCAATAGTATTAAACTTTGGGTGCTAAAATAAATGACGTGCCAACTTTTTAAACCACAAAAAATATTGTAATTATTAAACGTGTTAATAAGTTTTGAACGCATACAGAGAGAGGGACAGAATTCGTTGCAATCAATCAGTAGATAAAATGTAACGAATGTTATTAATTTAATTATCCTTTTTTTGTTTTGTTTCGCGGTTAACGAGGGTATTTTTCAATTCTTCTTCCTGTATTACGTTCTGGTAAAGTATTATGCTTCTTATAATATCACGTCTTTTTTATATCGCAATCGTCTATTGAAATTATGTTTTTTTTTTTGGTAAAAAATATATTTTTTCGCCTTTTTTTTTTTGTAATACAGAATGTTTGATTAGAAGCCGCCTAAAACTATTTAAATAGCTTGAAACTGCAATTTTATATTATAATAAGTAATTTCTTAAAACAATGGATAAAAAGCCCTGACCAAACTAATATGTATTTTTGACCAAACATTCTGTATTTTTCTGTAATTTTAAAATTTCACGTGGCTCAAATATAATGAAATAACTTAATTTGGTACTTTCCTAAAGAAACGTTTTTACTACTATTATATGCATAATAAATGACAAACACGCCTACACACATTTTAATTTTTTTTAGTTATTAATTGAAATTAAATTATTGTTCTATGAATGTTAATGTAATTATTAAATGAATAAATAAAAACGTACTTTTATAGTTTTTCGTGTCATTTCATTTCATATAATTTAACTATCAGTCACTGTGAGTTTCGAAACTGTTAACACTATTGCTGCGAGTGTGAACAATTTGTTTAATCACTGTTTTTGTGTTAAAAATTGTTTGAAAAATTAAAAATTAAAAGAATTGTTTGTAAAAGGGTATGCAACACATCGTACACGTCAGCATAAGAATTGCTGATACTAACTTTGCTCTGTGCTGACAGCACTCTTTCTTTTATATATAATAATAATTTAATTACTCAGTATTAACACTACAGTAGACAGAAACAAGGAAAAACGTAATTTAATTAAAACACAATAAATTAATTTCCATTAAATTGTAAAATCTAAAGTACAGAACCAACATTTTCGTTTTAGAACTCTCTTTAAAAATTACAACAACTCTGTACCAATTAGACAAAGGGAAATTAATTAATCGTTTTGGGGGGAAATGTAGTTTTTCCTACACCGTTTTAAGATGTTTTTTTATTGGTTGCTCGCAAAGTTCTGCAGAAGTGAAGAATTCTGAGTCCATTACACCAAAACAAAAACATGTCTATAAATTATATTAACATTAAAGAAACAATCTCACCTGGTGGATTATTTTCTGCTCAAAATCTCTTTAAACGGGAATGGGTACCTCCTTGGTTGTAGCAAGAAGGATTTGTTCTGTGCTGTAACACCAATTCTTAATATTTTTCGATATCGAACACCACAGTTCTCCGTGATGAGGTTCGGCTGCAAGGCATCTCTGTTTTACTTCAGCCTGTTGCTCGGGGGTTCCGTGTAACTGTTCAAAACGGTACCAGTAGGCCCACGCGTCTCCTAAATCTGGTTCTATTTTAAGAGTGCGTTGAAACCACTCGCGACATTTCGTAATTTTCCTTTCTGACCAGAAGAGTTTGCTTACGGCCAAAAGTACATGTGGATCATGCTCACACTTTTTCAAAGCGTCCACCTTTATAAAAAAAACAGAGAGAAGTAGGCGTTATATACATAAGGTTACGGTAGGTTCCCACACACACGTCATTTTTTTTTTAAGGGGACTAAAACTAGACCTACCGATTTTGCTTTCCTTTGTGGCCTGTTTTCTAGGAAAATCGATTCGGCCCACAGGTAACCAGAATCAGGACATTCTTGCAAAGCTTTTGCTATCATGGGCATAGCGATGTCTTTCATTCCTGCTCGAATTTCGACCCTAATTGCTTCCAACCACAAAATATCGTTTTTTGGATTCTTCAATCGTGCCCTTTCAAGTACAGATCTGGCCTTTGTCAAAAGACCTCGCTTTTCTTCAAGGCGGGACAATAAAAGCCACAACGGTATTGAATTGGGACATTTCTTGATCTACAGCAGGAAAACAATTTAACTTATTGCAATTATATAAAAGTAAATGAACAACTAAATTACTTATATATTGTTGTTTAAGTAAACAGTTATACTAAAACATTAATTACAGTATGGTGTTAGAGAACTCTATATCGTTGTTACCTTTAAATTTTTACAATAAATAAAAAATACGTTATCGATAAAAAGTGGCTCATACCCCTGAATTGTAAGCGTCAAATGCTTTGCTCACTTCTTGTTTTTGTTCATAGATTTGTCCCATCATCATCCATAGTTTGGGAAAGTCAGGGAAAACTTTTAGGGCCTCGTCTAACAAATTAAGGGCTGCGTCAAGGTTATTCAGGGCCCATTCCAGTTTTGCGCTTTTCATCATCACCCTGGGTGTAGGAGCAGAGCCTAATAAGGAATACAAAATAAAATTACTCTTTTTATATTTACGAACTGAATGGTTATGTTATTACCTCGAGCTTTGGCAAGTAGTCTTCTGGCCCTCTCATATTCGTTATTTTCCGATTCTAATTTCACGGCGGCTAACCAAATTTCTTCGCTGTTGGGATTAGCCTGGAAGGCCAATGACAGAATTCCTCTAGCTGCTGGGACATCACCGGCCAACCATTTACTTTTTGCTCCCATTAACCATAAGACCTAAACATACAAAGTACAAAAGCTTAACTCATACACCTGTGAAAAGAAGCTATCAGTAAATAGATTTTTACCTCACTTTTTGGACAATGTGCCACAGCTCTTTGTAAGAGTCCCTCCAAGCTATCCCTTGTCCCATGGTTTTTCTCAAGATAAGCAGCTCTCAACCAGATGGACTTCTTTGAAGCAAATGTGGTTAGGGCGTGATTGTATACTGTGCGCGCACATTCATAAGCACCTTGTGTAATGCACTGCAAAAATAAAACATTCGAATATAATTTAAAATGTAAATTATCATAAAGAGCGTACATTTTCAGCGTCTTCCATCCAGGTATGCTTCTGGTCTTCTGGTTCAATTCCATAAGCAATGATGCTCTTCACTATGGCTCGACAACAGTGTATGTGACCACTTTTTTCGCTCTCTATCGCTTCTTTGAACCAATGTTCTCGATTTATTTCAACACCATTTGCGCTTAAGGAAGTCAAAGCCCTGTCAATGATCCGTTCCACCATATGATGATTTCCTGATAGTGAGTTGAAACATACAAGCATTAAAACAACACTCCTGTGGAAAATATAATTTCAAGTTCTTACCATGAGCTTCTTCGAGTTTTGCGGCCGTTACCCAAATAGATTTGTCTGTCGGTACATTTTCTCTGGCTTTGTTCAGAACTTTTCTTGCGTTGTCATACGTTTCGAGTTTTGCGAGAGCCAACCACAATTCGACAGCAGTGGGACAACATTCTACAGCTCGTGAGAGTAAAATTCGGGCATCGTCGGGGTTCTCGAGTTCCACCGCCGCTTTCCAAAGCCTAACAGAGTTCGGAATGTGCTCCAAAGCTTTGCGATATACACGACGTTTCGCTTTTATTTCCGTTTCAAGATCTGCAGCTTTAATCCAGATTCGAACCTATTTATTTCGTTGCTTTATTAGTTTTTAATTTGGTTTATTGTAATTTTCACTTACCGATGTCGGTATATGCCTTGCAGCTTGGGCGATAACGGCTTTGGCGGTGTCAGGGGGCTGCAAACGGGCCGCCTCCAACCACAAATCTTCACTTTGAAGATTAGTTTCGCAACCTTTCATTATTAAATTTCTTGCTGCTTGTATTTTACCTATGAATAATTATGTATCAAAACAACAAAAGAAAAATAAGTAAAAGTCATAGGTAAGAAACAAAGCAAAAATAAGATAAAGTATTATAGTCATTAAAAATCTATTTACAAATCTCAAAAAGAAACAACAAATTTCTACTGTAGACTGAATAAATAAAAAATATATACAAAAACAATAAAATGTATACCTGTAACTTCTTCTAATCGGGCACTAGCAATCCATGCAGGAGGGTGATTGGGGTTGGTTTCTCTGACAGACTTTAATAGAAGTCGTGCCTTTTTTATGTCATTAATATCACCACCATATGTAGGAATCATGGACTGAAGATCTGTTAAGTAACCTTTTGGATCAACAACTGTTTGACCCGTTACTGAATCAGAGACCTATGAAAAAGCAGAAAAACATATTATTATTTCAATGCAAATTGAAAAACCTTAATTATAATCTTACTTGCGACAATTTTACATTCATCAAGGTGTTCCTAGCTTGTCCAATTTTTCTCAAGTCCATATCACCAGTTGGTGTTAACATTCCTAAAATCAATTTAAAAGTTTTATAATGTTACAACCATATAATTGTGGAACTATACCTGGTGTGCTGACCCCTGGCATCATGCTGGCTAGACCAGAGTTTGGATCTATTGAGCTGGATGTGTCACCCCCCAAATTCCTGGACAATACACTATCAGGCAATGGTGTAAACTTCTCTGCCCTAGGATTCCTTTGTTTTCTATTTCGAGCATCTCCTACATCAGGCACACTTCTCCACTCATCTTCAGAAACATTGACTAAATCTCTTTTCAAATCCGAGAACTGTTGCTGAATTTTTGGCCTTTAAGAATAAATTCATTAAAACTCTAAGGTAATCATTAATAAACTTTTAATTGGTTTGCTTACCTTTCCTGTCTGTATCTTTCAAGTTCTAGTTTAAGACGCTTTTCTCTATATTCTTTTCTCTTTTCGTCCATTCTTTTATCAATACTCTCATATATAGCATCAGCTTCAGCATCATCTTTATCATAAGGATCCTTGGCAAATAGCGAGCCCCCATAACCACTAAATTCATCATAGTTTGAATCATTTAAATCTTCATCATCCTACAAAGGCATAAGTTAAAAAAAGAAAACAAAAAATGTAAATCCGTTACTTTATCCTCTTCTTCTTCCTCTTTCTTTTTAGGTCGTTTTGCTGCAGGAGGTGCATGTCTGTCATCTCTACAAATGGGTAAAAATTATTTGTTAGAAAGTAAATATAAAATTATAACTTACGAAACGTCGTTGGCATCTCTTGCCGGACCGATATCAGAACGTGTTGTGAAGCCAGTTGCACTAAAAACAAGTAATTACTAATTTGATTTAAATACTCAATCAAAATGTTATCCTTACCCTCTTCCTACACCTGCAACATAACCTAAAGGAGCTGGAACACCAAGAAAATGCTTCTTATTCTTGTTTACCAATGCAGCTGGAGGAGTAGTCATTGCAAGTTCTTATAATATTTTATTTAAAAGCTAAAGCATTATTTAAATAACAATTTTTTTGCTATCGTAAGTTAGCCGTTTTAATTGCGTTTATCGTTGGCCTAAGGAAAAGTAGGGTTATATCTATCTATGGTTATATCTGTCAAAATGTCAAAAGAGATAAACAAACATAGATAATGTATAAATAAATAACAATAGAATAATCATATACAAATTTGGCAAAGAATCGATTCAATTAATAACCGACGTTATTTTATACAATGAAACAAAGATCTATTTAAACTTAATATAATAATATGAAGAGTAAAAAAAAAATAGCAACTAATTTCTATTCAAGCTTTTCGTTCACGTTACTTGAACCACAATGAGTTTTTTTTTCTCTAATTCCATAGATATTCAATAAGTAACATAAATATAAACTTAAAAAACATAAATATAACCTTAAAAAAGTTTGAAAAGTCTAAAAACTTATTTTACCTGATAATGAGCACTTATCTTTTATAGAAGTAGATAAAACAAGTACAATATGTTTTTAAATAATCTTATAAAATGTACGTTTTGCTTACTAGCTTTAATTAATGCAATAAGTGTTAATGGGACGTTGTCACCTAAGTCGCCTAAATCGAAAAAAGGGAAACATTCCGTGGATAAAGTGCACTCAGGTCCTCAAAATCAAAATGTGAAGGACAAAAACCTTATAACACAAACTGTTAAAATAGCAGATATTTTAAGCAATTATCAGGCATTTTTTAAAGAAGTCGATGCTTATAGTTTTGATGGACTTGTTTTAGGTTATGTAACACCGGTAAGCAGACCTATTAAACATTTATTATTTCTTGCTACTTTCTGTTTTTATTGATATAACGTTGTAGTGGAATAATCACGGTTACGATGTAGCGAAAATATTCGGCAATAAATTTACCCACATTAGTCCAGTGTGGTTGCAAGTTAGATGTATAAAACCTGCACAATATGAGATAACTGGTACTCACGATGTAGATAAGCAGTGGATTTTGGATGTTAAAAATGCAGGCAAAGAAAGAGGAGTTAAAGGTAATAAGTTCCTTATGTTTCATGTTCTATTTAATTGTGAATTTTTCTATATCGTAGTTGTTCCTAGGATTCTCTTTGATAAGTGGTCCTTGAAAGATTTTCAACAACTCTTGGGTAACTATAACGAGATGTACGCCTTAACTGCTGCTATTGTTGAAAGTTGTAAAAAGTATAACTTTGATGGAGTCGTTTTAGAGGTGTGGTCACAAATAACAAACAGATTTGATGATAGTTTACTAGTGGATTTAATTAAACATATTGGTAGGTTTGAAATTTATTTTCCTTTTGAGAAGGATGTATTTATGATTTATATTTCGGTTTTATTAGGGAAGAAATTTTCTTCTGAACAATTGGACTTATTTCTGGTAGTTCCTCCAAAGAGAGGTATGCAAGAGGAAATGTTTACTGGCAAAAATTTTGATGATTTATATGATTATGTTACCGGGTTTTCTTTAATGACATACGATTTTTCAAATCCTCAAAGACCAGGTAAATAATATAAATATTCTTGTATATACCTATTAGATTTTACGTCTAATAATTATTGTACTATTTCAGGTCCAAATGCTCCTTTGCCATGGGTTAAAGATTGCATTCAGTTTTTATCAAGTTCTCAGGAAAAACGAAAGAAAATTTTAACGGGTCTTAATTTTTATGGCAATGCCTACACTCCTAATGGGGGAAGTCCTATTGTGGCTCACGATTATGTTGAATTGCTAAAGAATTCGCGAACTAAGGAACTGAAATTTGATCCAGAATCGGTGGAACACTTTTTCGAGGCAAAGTAAGAAAAAATTTTTATTTATATAATATTTATAGGATANGAAATTGCATAATATATTTTATGTATTTAAATTGTAGGAGAAATTTATGCATAACAGAAAAAAGTACAATTCATTTAAATAATAGTTAGGCAACTCAAAACCCGTAAAAGAATGTATTAAATGAAATTTATTCATTGTTAATAAGTGTCTTAATTAATTTTTATCAACGTTATTTGTCATTATATATTTATTAACTCATTAGAATCATTAAATAAAAAAGACACTGTCCATGTGATGTAAAAAACTGAATTATTTTCAATGAATTTGCTTTTATTTATTTCAGGACTGATAGTGGACGCTCAATAGTTTTTTATCCTACATTACATTCCATAAACGAACGTATAAATTTAGCTAGAAAATATGGGACTGGAATATCGATATGGGAATTAGGGCAAGGACTTGATTATTTTTATGATCTCTTGTAACACATGTGTTATTTGGAATGTATGTTGCCTTTATAAATAGAGTGAAGTAACACTATTTTTTTTTTGAGACAATATTAACGCTTTTAAATAGTGTTGCTGAATTATGGTGCTGTACAGAAAGATTCGCAACATAAGATACAGCTAAAAATTTGGAAAAAGATTCAGGTGAGAAACAAAAAAAAAGAATTTTTATTACCTTAATTTTTTAAACTAACCGGAGACAATAAATATGTTTTCTCTTTACCTTTTTCGTTGACGTCCCAAATAACAACTTTGGCTTTAATTGTGGCAAGTCTTACGGCTAATTCTTGTCCTACTCCCCCTGCTCCACCTGTTATAACGACCACTTTATGTTTTAGACTTTTTTGTGACCTAAAGGCCGTGGGGGTCACGCTTAAGATTAACGTCTCTGTCACATAGTACGCACTCAGGACTAGCAAAACCATACATTCCCAGGCCGTAGTAATTACATTTATTATATACGATGATAGCCATTCTAATGTGGACATTTCTGAAAAAAAATGAACTATAAATATTTAATAATAATTAGTAAATAATTTTCGATTTAATAAATTCTGCTTTCTACTTTTAAACTTAAAGAAAACTGTAAGGGTGGAAAAAAAGGGGATGATTTCCGCTTTTAAGTTCTTAGCTTAAGTTTGTAAGTATAAATGGCAATGTTAAAGTCGATTTTTACGTAAGTAAATTTAAATTATTATGTATAATTAAAAGTGTTAATTGCTAAACACACATTAATTAATTAAATCAATTACATAAGCCTTTTTTGTGGCTAATTAACTATCTTTCTTTGTGGGCTATAAAAAATGTACCA